CCCCAAAACCCCAAAACCCCAAAACCCCAAAACCCCACTCCTATGCAGATATATTGAAAATAAAATTTAAAATTAAGTTTTTATAATAATAAAATGGAAGGTCTTACTGAAGCTATCGAAGAAGAAAATATTAAGAAAATCAGGTAACTGTAAATTTAGTTTAGAGAACTCTGAGCTTTCACTCTTAAATTTGTGACAAGTTCCAAAATTTTAAAGTTTAACCAAAATTTGCCAACTTTTATAATAATTTCACCGAAAATTTCTTGACCGAGAAGTTCATGATAAAACTAGAGAGAGTTTATAAGCCTTGCCTCTCTTAGATTTATTTGGGACCTCCACAGATAACATTTCTGCTAAAGCCTTAAACCTGGGATTTCTCAAAATCTAAATTAGCACCCTTTCATCTCCAACTTTCTGACAGATTCTGACATTGATCTACCTCCCCTTCTGCCTCTAATTGTGCAGCTTAGAGAAGTCTGTCCTGGCAGAAGCCAAGGAGCAAGAGGTCACCACATGCCAGAGCATTCTCTATAAGGTTCTTCCGGATAAAAAAGTTGAACCATCGGATCCAGACTCCGAAGAAGTTTCAAGAAACAGTGAACTTAGCATTGAGTTGTACGACATCTGAAATGTCAAACTTTTGAAAAGTTTGAAGTGTCTTAAGTTTTTTGATATACATTTCCTTTGTTTGGGTCAGATTGATTCTGAAAATAATCGTTTTGTTTTAAATTTCTTACAATCCTCATTCCCAAATAAAATTAGGAAACTAGTTTTTGGGTCCAGTGGCCAAATAGATCTGAAAAGGTCCAGCTACTTAAACTCCCTGACCAGACTCAACTCCAAAGTAGTTCAGCAAGTTCTCTTTAGATATTTCAGCATCGGCCTGCCTCAACTCAAGAGGCTCGTGGCAGCTTTCAGACATGTGAGAACTTTGAGATTGACATATTGCAGGCTATCTATCCCAAGTTCTCCTGATTTGTCAAAGGCTCTGAAGAATTGCAAAATCCAGGAAATAGGTTTAATAGGATGAGGAGATTCGGATAGAAGTGATTGGGAGAACAACTTCGACGAGTTCGAGAACTTGGTACAAGGGTTAGCAAGCTCTCCAGATTTAAGATTGAGTCTTGATAAAGTACTTGTCTATTACTGCGAAGTAACCCAAAACAAAGTTGAACAACTCTTTGAAGAAAACCAGCTTGGAGGAGTTAACATAACTGGTGGAGATTAAATTTTGGTGAAATTTTTTATTATTACTGCTTTGGTTCAAATTCTGCTTCTTCCATATTTTGCACTTGGTGACTTTTTAATATATTCCGGGGTTTGATCAAGCTGGGGTTTTGGGGTTTTGGGGTTTTGGGG